TTTGAACCGCAGTGTGTGCCCGCCTTGATTGCAGAGCTGAACTTTTCCGCCAACGGCTATTACTTCCGTAGGAGCTGGCAGTGCTATTCTGATCTGGCTCACTGAGCTCTCCATCCTTGACACCCATCTCATTTGCCAGGGTTGCTGCTTAACTCAAAGTCTTGCTTTGGAGCTTATCCTGTACTCAGTGATGCAGTCTCTTCAGTTTTCTTTTTACAGAACCAATTTCCAAACCAGTGCTGAGCTCATCCACCTCTCAAGCAAAGAAAGGCCAGAATGTGACTCTCTATTGTCTGTCTGAGAACGGCTCTCTTCCTATCACCTACATATTCTTCAAAGGAAGACAAAGCATCTCTCGCCCAGTGAAGATGCGGAAGAGGGAAGCAGCTGAGATTATTCTATTTATCAATTCCTCCAGTGACTTTGGAACCTATACATGCAGAGCTGAAAATAGCTTTCACAATAATACAAAACACAGCAACAGTTTCAACTTTACATTAGCAGGTATGCATGCGTGAAACTGTACCAGTGTTCACAAACAGGGACCACACAAAGTTCAGAATGTTGTAACAGTGCAAGTTTTTAGCCAGAATTGTTTTTCCTGCAATGTAATGTTCAAAATATGATTTTCAACAATAAAAAAATAATTTGAGTTTTTAAAATTAATGCAAAAAATAGAATTCCATGCAGTCTAGATAGCAGTAGAAGTTGAAGTGACTGTGAAGGATGACTGTAAAAGATTCACTTTTAGAAGAGATCCCTGGTCCACCCTGGGAAGAGTCCAGTTTCATTTTTCTCTCTGGTCCTATGAAAGAGAGAGGCTACTGGCACCAGCCAGCTCCCTTCCTTCTGCTGCGGCAGTGTGCAGTTGGGACTCTCCTGAGCAGTTACATTAACCACAGTTAATCCAAAAGCTGAAAGAAATGCTAAGTCTTTACATTTACAGAAAATACTTAGAACATGAAACAACATTTCGTTGCATAAACACCTTTTTGTTTTCTTTTTTGGCAGAAGAGAGAAGCCATTCTCAACTCCCGATAATTTCTCTTGGGCTGACCTTGCTACTAGTTGTCATAGGATTTGCTCTGGCAATTCCATTTTCCATAATTCCTTCGTATAAAGCAAGTGAGTTATTTAAATGTCTGTTTCATTTTCCAGAAGTGCTCGTTTATGTTGTCAATACAATTTAGTGTGTAAACATTATGTTACACGTAGACTTAGGCTCTTGGCATTTTAGGATGTTGTCGAGTCTCATCTTGACTGGCGTAGGCAACTTAACAAAACATTGATAAGGCAAAACCTCTGACCTATGTTTTAGATGGCAGGTCTGGCATGTGGGAAGCAAAGCAACATCTAATTTAATGCACATAAATGTTGGAAGGAGTTTGACCTCATTATTCTTAGTAAAGAAAGGAAATTCAATTAAAAATGCCTTTCGTAATTTTTATAATGAAAATAACATTATCTAAGATCTCCAAGTACTCAGAAAATATCATGGAACTGTTTATTTGCCTCTGAGAAAAACTGATATATGTATATAGACATGTGTTTGTTTTTTTTCCTACAATTTGCAGAAAAACTTAGATCTACTAGGTCCTCAACTGGCCTTACTTCAACAGTGAATGCAGAAGACCCTGAAAACTGTGTCATATACACAGAGATTGGTAAGTTCATGTCATTCCCCATTCAGCCATGAAACTTACTTGTGCAAGTTTGGTTGAAGAATGCTATTACACTATTTGTAGCAAGTATGGGCAAATTTCCTCAGGTACTGCAAAAGCAGTGGAAGGGAACACCTACTACCACTCAGGGAGGTAATACTCCTACTGACCATGCCTGGCAGAGACATTATTTGAAGTCCCTCAGGATCCATATTTGGCACTACTTGTCAGCCATGTAGCCAAAACTTCAACTGATTAAATGAGCGGAAGTTCTATACAAAAGTCTAGTGTAAACAGAAATAAAATTTGGAATTGCATTTGGCAACTCATGGTGAGGATTGAAATAGCCATTACAGAGGAAAAGATAAGTAGAAGACAGCAAGTAGATGAGAGGTGCACTGCCCACTTACTAAGAGACAAAAGTGGGCTATATGCAAGTTGTAGCAAAATAAAACTTCAGTAGCTCCTGCGCTCTGTTCAAAATTGCTCAGTACACAACAGTTCTGTAGTCCACATTTCCTAACTTTCACAAGATTCAGTCAGTTCAAGCTGAAATTACAAAACAACGCTAGACAACAGAACAGCTGACCTACCTTAAGACATTGTACTACATTATTGTGTATTTTCTGCAATCAAAGACATTACATGAAAGTCACGATGCTGTTATCTTGTAGTTCTCTACATTTGCCTTATGAGTGTAGAAAACTACAAGTACAGATTTGTTCAGAGAGAATGATTCTCTTTTTGATATTTAGAAACAGGAAACATAATACCTTTGCTGTTGGTTTGTTTTGGGGGTTTATTTTTCCCTTGAAAATACTGACACTCATGAACAAATCTGCCTTCCTGTTCATGTAGTAGGCAGGTAGAACTCCAGCTGCCCTGCTGCGTCGGCTCCGTGCCCTGTGCAGCTGCTCATGCCAGGTGCCAACCAGCATTCTATCTACACAGCCTGCAAGGACAGCCACAGTAGCTCTGGTGAGGCCCATGAATGCTACAGAAAGCAGGGCAGATTCATATTCAATACAGAATCTTGCTGCTTTGTTTTAATATTATTAAACAAATAAATAATTCAGGTCAATCTCTTGTAATTGAGCTAACTGCTGTTCATCATCTTTAATCCAGAGCCTGTTAAACCAGAAGAAGAATACGTCAACTTTTCTGTTATTAGAAGAGAAGATGAAAAAGGTGAAAACCTCAAGCTGTAACATTGGAACATCTGATGTGCACAAATATGTTTTGGGGGGAGGCCGGGTTTACATAGCAGCAGTTACATACTGGATCTGGTTACTTACTATGGAGAAATTAAAATAACTTTTAAGACTTTTTTGAGGGGAAAAAAGCAAACAAAACCCTTCAAATAAAAAGCCTATCACCATCCCATGACCCCAAAATTCAACAGCCTCACTATGAAACCAAGCAGGAGATTATGTTAGTGAGCAAGTTACTGACGATATATTAATTCTTCCATTATGTATCCATACCAAAAAAAGGAATTATGCATTTTTTGATTCTGGCTTTCAGCAGAGAAGAGAGCATGTGCCACAGTCTATTCAGAGGTCCTCATCAGAGACTGACTACAAGGTAAGATCCCTTTTATGATTAACTTAATCACATATTTTTAAAGAATCTTGTCAGTCTGCAGATGATGTAAGTACCACCAAGTCTGCACAGAAAGAGATGATGTTTAGATACTAGGTTCCTGGCCTAATAATTTTGTAGAGAGACTGTATAGCTCATTCTCTACTAGCCAGCAAAATCCCCAAGTCATAATCTCTAAGGACTTCAACTTAAAAGAAAAAGCAGAGCGGATAAAATTTGGAATTAACAAAGACCCTGATAGCAATCCTGTTAGATAAACAGCATCTTATGGCCCAAATAGCACCACAAAACCCAAACCAAACCAAAATAACGTAATGACTGTCAGGTAAAATCCTGCTGGACACAATATATAGTCTGGCATTATATGCATCAGAAAAGAAGAAATGATGTAAAGCTTTCACACAGACCCAAATTCCTGTACATTTAACAATTATCCTGAAGTAGAAACTGGATTGTATGCAAACATCAGTTAATCACAAGGCTTTAGTCAAGTATTAAAAAAAAAAAAAATCCCAACTGTATTGCCCTCTTAGGCATGCACTAGAGGATCCATAGTTGGCCTCTGTACCTGCTGTTACCTGGAAGCAAGGGTGGCAATTCCCTCAGTTCAACATTACTTCAGCTCTCAGAGTAGGGATAGGATGTTAAAATTAATTTTTGGGACAGTTAACTCCAAAACAAATTCTGCATTGTGCTGTAGGCTGTTTCTTAGACTTTTCTGGGTAGTTTTCATGTCATTCCATAGCCAGCTTACGTAGAATTCCGAGTTCAGCAAGTCACACAGCCACACTATGCTAACGTTGCTATATCTGGCATGTTTACACTACAGAGCTATTAATATTACTTAGTAGAGCAGTTACAAATAACTCATTTATAGTTAAATAAGCACCATGTTAACAGAAGAAATTTTTAAGGCAAGTTCTTGTGTTTCATGACATTGTATGCAACAAGGCATGTCACCTCAGAGCACTTAAATACAGTGACTTAAGCTGTACATGCATAGTAACCCTACAGAAGATCAGAATCAATTTCATGTCAATGCACTCTTTTATCTGATTTTGACTACCACACTTAGCTATAAGATAAATATGATCACACATTAACCTCTTTCGACCATATTCTTTGTACACATTTTGTCCACAAAAATGTTCGTCAAAAAGAGTTTATATTTCTTCTATATCCTCTCGTACTCTTGAAAACGTATTTCTGATCTTTATGTTTATCAAGTGCAAGATGAAGTAGATTAAATGTTGAATTGAAGAACTGAGGCCATGTGATTAAAATACATTCCTACAAACAGAGAGTAGAAAGATACTTACTGATGTTATTAAAACATTTAAGATTTGGAAGTCTTTTATATAAAATACCATTTTCCACCAGAGACCATAGTTGTGTCAGCAATACACAGACGAAAGATGAATTTTTACGTTAGGAGGGAGTATTTTTCAGTAAGATAGTAAAACTGAAGACATGAAAGAGAATATAGTTAGTGCTGCTAACGAGGAACAAGTTCGTCTCTTCCCTCTTTTCAGGGTAACCTGGAAGACCTATATGGTCTAGATTTGACAGGAAAAAAAAGTTTTCTCAGAACTATTTGCGGAGTAACTACGGAGTCCATGACACCACAGAAGCCAGTTCAGGCACAGATGTTTAAGAAATTTCTTTTATTCAATGAATTTAAGTTTACATGTTTTTGGCTGATGTTACATACTTAGTTAAAAAGTCCTTCAGTCTAGAAATGTGCATCATTTCCTTCATGGTGGTGTCTCTGCTTCTCAGCTGGACCACTCCGTTCTCTAGAGTGGCCTCAGTTATCAAGACCATGAAGAGAACACTCATCTCATCGTACCTGCGAAGAAACGAGCACACCTGTTACTCCTTTTGGTGTATGAAAACTTCAGATAAGTTATGTACAAATGCCCATAAGCTGCAAATACTTATTTTTGCTATACTGCACTAGGTGCACTAGGTGTGAAGACACCAGTTTTCTTGCTACAATCCCTTGCTTTCCTGATTTCATTTCTTTAAATTATTTAGTTAATATAGTACATAAAAAGAATGCTATTTGGTGACCGACTACAAGAGTATTTTTGTAGAAGCAAAATATATATTTCTTCGGTTATTTAATAGCCAGGCTTACTTTGAAGACTACTGCACAGAACAAATACTCATATTTATTCTCTCTCAGGGAAAAAAAAATACTCATCAATATGTTTGAGATCTATTGACATGAGCAGTGATATGCTCAAAATTCACTCCTGATCAACAAGTCGTGTGTGAAGCCCTCAGCTGGAATAGCAGTTTTATCTGCACAAATAACTCCATCACATACACTAATCGTAATGGTTCCAGACTTGAAAAAACTTTTAAGTTCAAGCCTAGACATGATGTGCTACTGGAAACAATACTCAATGAAACACAACACCAGTCCAGATGCAAAAATGGAGCTGAGGGCGGGAAACAGTTCTGCAAGCTTATGATTCATCTGAAGAAATTTATTTTCGATAGAAGTCTTTAAAAGACATTTCACAATTCCATAGAAGCAACAGTAACATGTGAAAGGCTTATACTTAATTTTAAAAATTAACTATCTGATATTGCTCTTTGTAATAAAACTAATTGAATCCAAGTTTATAGTTGGGGATACATGCCTTCAGTCATGTGGTTACTGCACTTAATGACTTCTTACTGAAGACAGGTATATTTTCGCTAGTCCACAGAAAGTCATCTTTCACCTTCATAGTTTAATTTACAAAAGACTGTTTTTCCTTACTTTGTATAAAGCTGTTCCAGAGATACCTGCACGGTTTCAAGATAACCCGGCCATACGGAAATTCTATTTTCTGACAGTTCATTGAACAATCCTTGACAAACCTGTGTTTATTTAAAAACAACAGTTAAAAGACAGACTTTGAGGTTCTGAAATCCTATACAAAGAAACCATTAAAACTGTAGTATGCGTGGTATTAGCGTTCCTAACTGGTGTTAACATTCTGGCTGAAATAATCTCAAAGTAGAAAGGAGCCTGGCAATTAAATCTCCATTTCTATTTAAAAACATACCAGTGTAAATTTCCTCCGTTCTCTGGGGACTGGCTTAATGCCTGACTTAAATAAAAACTTCTTAAAAATCCTTCTGAAGATGTGACTCATGCATTAAGATAATTCTGAAAGATTAAGCTGAGAGGGATTGTGTAATTTATTTTCCTTCATTTTTCATGGAACAAATATCAGCTCTATTAACAGCGCTAAAAGCAGCCTGTTGACACAAGGAAAGCATCTACTCCTTCAGCTCCAACTCACAGCTGGAGCCAGCGAGTGCACAGTGGAAACTGCAATCTGTACAGCCATGGATCTCTGAGAATCAACGCAGCAGCACGATTCACCCCAAAGTAAGGGGCAAACTCCAGAAGGTTGCATGGAGAGTCAATGCTCAAAATTAAAATACTTTCTGACAACGTACCTGCCTCAGCTCTGTGGTTGGACCTTTTCCTACATCCAAGGCCACTTTAAGAGGTGCTAAACAAGGATGAAGTTTAAGTACCTAATAATTTCACAAAAGGCAACAGATTACTAAACGTATTTAGTGTGAAATTCTAAACAGAACTAGGAAACATTACAAAGCTATTTGAAATTTTTTCACTGAAATTAAGATTCTAAACATACGGAATTTCCTTGCATCACAAAATCCTGCATTAGAAGTAAGCTGTATTTCACATAACTAGCACCCATGCCAGCTGGGTTACATGGCCGAAATGATCCCGTTTTGGCCAAGCTCCAGCAAAGAGATGAAGTTTTGTCAGCAGAGCTCCATCATCTTCAGTGGAGCCAGAGTGAGCAGCCCAGCAGTTACCACCCAGCCTACTACCTGTCCTTAAAGACCAAACAGCTGTTGGATTGACAAGTGCTGTCTGAAAACTAGCACTCAACTCCAGAAAACCAGGGTAAAAGCGGGAATAACGACGGCCCTCAGGGAAATGCCCCGCTACCACCTGCGACCCACTTTTCCTGCCCTTGTCAGCAACCTTCAAATGCTGCTGGAAGAGACAAACTCCTCTTTCCCACACAGAGCAGCTATATTCTGATTTCTCGTAACTCCTTCATCACTTGCATGGCAAGAGCCTGCCTCCTCATCAGAGAGAAAGCAAATCAAACAGGGAAAGCGACCTCGGAATGCGAGAAAAACCGCTTATGTGGGTGACAAGGACCACAGAGGCAGTCCCACGGGGCCACCCAACTGCTACCAGTGAGAAGCGTTCTGTCTGCACCTGTTGGGGAAGGGAACCCAGGAGAGCGATGGGGAAGATGTTTCCATGCTTGAATTTACCACACTGTCTGTGGGTTTTGTACTTAGTCCTGCCCCTGCCTTCCACCATCCGTTCTTCCTTACGCTTTCTACAGAAAGTTACCTTTCTCTGTGAATTTTTCTTTTTTGTTAATGGATTCTCAGCTAGCTGTAGAGAATCAAAGAGATAGGCTAACGTGCCTCGGTCCAGATTTCCGCTCACAGACAGAACATGAGGAATGACATTCTTCCTTCCATCTCGGCCCTGAAGAAATAAAAAACACACAGGGATACCTCAAATACTGTCTCAAAGGCCTTTGGTTTACTTTAAATGTACAATGAGGCACTGAGCTCAAGCACCCTTATTACATTTAAAATACAATTGCACATGCATTTTTAAAAGTTACCAGCAATTTTAAAAGTGTAACAGTAACTACACAGGATAGTAACACCAGGGAAAGCAGAAGATCAGAGCAAGATGGGACTATTTTCTTGTCTTGCCTGCTTCTCTGATCATAAATTTAAATCTATGACCAACACCCTTGAAACTCTGCATTTTCGTTTGGAGGTTTGTAGATTACTTCCAAGTGACCACAAGGATCTGTCCCCACATTTTGAGAAATCACTACATAACCCACAGTTTTGTAGGTTACGTTACAGTCTCCTGCCTTCTGTATAGAAATAAGCTGCAAAACCAGGAAAGAGAAAGGACCATCAGGAGAAGAATGTTGCAATTTACTGCTAAAATAAGTTACTCTTGTTTTGTCTGTTCAAACATTGCCGTTTGCTCGAAGTTTGTCCCTTTCCAATATATTCAGTGGAAACACTTCCCTCTGGTCCGTTCCCCCCCTCTCTAAGTGTGGTAACTTCTATAAAGCCATTTGCAGCATTCATAATCCATTAACTTGTCCGGAATTGGACAAGCTACAAAAAGAAAACACTTTTACAGGTTCTTTTTGGTGCAAACTTAACACTGCAAAACACAGACCCAGTTTGTCTTGACATCTACTCCCAGATGCAGGTAAAGGCCATGCAACTGACAACAGCAGTCTTGTCAATATAGCTAATTTCTAATTTCAAAGAGTTAACTCCTCGCAAAAAAAAACCCCTCAAAATACTATTTCACCTGCTTTTGAAAACGAAAGTCTGACTGCAGAGTATCAACTGTAATGCTTTTACAACAAAAGAATAAAAAGGCACTCATGCTAAGCAACAGGCCAGCAAAGAAACCATTTCTCTCACACGTTACCATCTTTATCAGAAAAGATTTTTTATATCATAAAGCTTACAAGTAATTTTGAACTATCCCCTGGATGCATCTGTAACAGTTCAGTATCACCAAGGTTCTTCAGCGTTTCTATTGTTTCTGTCCCCCAAGGAAAGTTGTAGTGTAAATTAAATCCTCTTCTGCCTTCTTCATCCTGAAAGTCACTGCTGCTGAAGTTAGATGGGCCTACTGCAAACTGAAAATTGAAGACAGAAGCGGTGATCACTACTGGGCATACTGCACGAACTGCAAAATCCAACTCCAATCCAAGCTGAAGTCTCTGATTTTCAGCAAAAGATTTTTATAAATTACAGCCCAAATCTCTTTGTTGTTTTACAGCATTGTGATCTCAAATCAGTTACAAACACTAAACATTTGCCTTTCTGCAAGTCAGGCTGCAAACTACTTAACTACTTGTCATAAACTTAAGTAGCTCTTTGGTTTCTCACAAGAAATACAAGTATTTCAGTGATGAGAACAGGCCAGCAGGAAAACTCCATAAAACCAATTGGAGTGCCTAGTCCCCCTCCTCTTAGAGACATAAAGGAGCAGGTCAAGATTTTAGATGCCCCATCCCTGGAAGTGTTCAAGGCCAGGTTGGATGAGGCTTTAGGCATCCTGGTGTAGTGGAGGGTGTCCCTGCCCATGGCAGGGGGGTTGGAACTAGATGATCTTTGAGGTCCCTTCCAACCCAAACCATTCTGTGATTCTATGACTTCTCGTGAGTACACGACTATTACCTTTCTCCACCACTGGAGTCTCTGGCGTAACCAATAATCGAGCCACTGTCCTGCAGTTCTGGGAGAGCTAAACCATGCAAGCAAAGACGTGGTCCTTTCGCCTATTCTTTAAACAATAGCAAGGTCAGCAAGTTAACTCCTTCAAAAATAACAGGGAAAAAGCAAGAGACAGCATTCAAAAAATAATCCAATACTGAAGCAAATACAAACAGTTGGTTTAAGCATGGAACGGGATTAATCCCTCTACTACTCTACCTTCCAAGGTTTTTGTTGGGTTGTTCACTTTCTGGAATAGAGTGAAAGCATACTCCGACTTGAGCGAGGCCACAAGGCAGTCTTTTGTTCACCAATTCTAAGCAGCTAACATATTGCGCCAAAGCACCTGTAAAAACCAAACCACTGTAGTAGCCACAGGAAAAAAAAGTAATTTTTCAATTCTACTGAGCGCAAACAGGGCACACAGGATCCACATCCTGTTTATAGGTGCAGTCCCACTACCGTTCTGCAGCGTTTAGCCCCCCAGCCTGTAGCCTGTTTCCTCCGGGTACTTTGGCAACTGCGATTTTAACGTGCTTTTCCCCCAGTTACACGGGAAAACGTCCAACCCGCACCTCGGCGTTCACACCGCTCAGGTCCTTGAAAAGGACACCAACAGCACGCAAATGAACC